GTCATTTCTAATTGGCTTACTGAGTGTTTCACCTCCTTCTTCATTTCAGCCCAAGTAGTCTTCAATATTTCTAGCTCTTTTCTGTATTTGTTCAGAAGTTTATCCCTATCTTCCTTCAGTTCTTTGATTTCTTTGTTTGTGTGTTCTTTAAATTTGCTGAATTCTTTTATCATTTTGAGTTCCATATCCTGCATTATCTCTAGGGGGTTCTGATTGTACTCCTCTAGAGTACTATTGGTATTTGATCGGGATATGTTATTTTGGTTGTTGTTTTTGTTGTTATTATTATTAAATCTCAGGCTTTCTCCTAAGGTCTGGATCCTTCTAGGAAAGATTTTGACCTCAGGAATTTGGGGGTTGGACTTGCCTGTGATCAGGGCCCAGGAAGATGCTGGTTTCAGGCAGCTGGTGGTGGTTCCACTCAGAGATGCAAAGGAAGATGGAGGCAGGAGGTGGCCCCAAGGGTCCCTGGGGACTGCAGTGAGGATCTCGGTCGGTCTGGATGCAAAGGACCAGGAAGAGGAAAGGTCAGCGTCCAGGAAAGAGGTTGGTAGGTTGTGTAGACCCATGAAGCAGAGGGAGGTGAGGGCGGGGCCAGGCCCAGATGGCTCCTGGGGACCCCAGGAGGAACTGGGTTGGTCTGGATACAAAGGATCAGGCAGCAGTCGTGGTTCCCTAGGTGTCTGGGCACCAAGACAAGAAATGGGACAGAACCCAGGCTAGGAGGAGACACCTGTGGGGGAGATGTGAGGGTGAACAAGGCTGGGGGAGTCAAGGCGTGGAGGGTGCAACCAACCTACCCGGGAAAGAGAGGCCTGTGGGTCAGAGAGAGGCCTGTGGGTCCTGCAGGCCCAGGGAAGCAGAGGGAGGTGAGCTTATTTTTAATCTATTATTGATTATTTTTATTTTATGTGTATGAGTGTTTTGCCTGCATGTGTGAAAGTGCACCTGTGCTGTACAATGCCTGCAGAGGTCAGAAGAGGGTGTCAAATCCCCTAGAACTGGAGTTGCAGATGGTTGTTAGTTGCCATGTGAGTTCTGACAATCAAACTGGGGTCTTCTGCAAGAGCATCCAGTGCTCTTAACTGCAGCTGCATCTCTCCAGCCCTCACAAAACTTTTAAACAAATTACCAATGATTAAGTTGTATTAAAGGAAAATAATTACCCCGTGGCCAACAATTACATATATGAGGCAAGTGTTGATTGCAAACCAATAAGAAATTGAAAATAATTAAAGCAGGCAAACACCATGTTTTTTTTTTTTTCCGTATATTAAGCTATGCCACTTATCTATTGCAATGTGGCAAAATTCCTCAACTTGATGGTGTTAAACAATAAGCGTTTATTCTCTTAGAGTGCCAGTAGGTCAGGAATTTAGAAAAAGCCCACCAGGTAGTTGTGGTTCTAATGAGATATAGAATCAGTTGAAGTTGTAGTCATCTGAAGACTAGAGGATGTAGTTCTAGCATGGTTTGCTTACAGGACTGGTGAGTTGCTGTGTTTTGTTAGCAGAGACCCCAGTTCCTTGACAGGCAGATATCAGTAGGGCTACATGTATGCCATTATGGCCTGAGACCAGGCTTCTTCCAGAGCCAGTGATCACAGAGAGATGTGGGTGAGAGCTCTAATATTTTTTTATAATCTAGTCTTAGAAATGACACCCTGGCCATTTCTGCAGTATCTGATTGGATAGACCAGGGTTAGGTCAGGCAATCACTCAAAATTATGTAGCTGAATTACACTGAATGTGGCCATCTCACTCAGTTTTGCAGTTTGGGTGCCTCACTTTAACACTGACCCTGGTTTATACAAGTCAGTTGCATTCAGTGTTGGGACAATACAGAGGTGTCCAGTCTTTTTCACTGTGACATGATACTGAGGTCTATAAATATGTTGGGCCACATTCATAGTTATCTTGTGATGAATGTGGCCTGGGGGGAGGGGAGTGTCACAAATTGCACATGCCTGGATAGGGCATGAATTTCAGGAAGGAGGAATCACTGGGGGCCATCCTGGAGCTGGTCACCACAAGAGCAAAGTATGTGACCAAGATTTGGAGCTGTATGTGAGCAACGACTTGAACCAGATCAGCAGTTCTCAAGCTTTCAGTGACCACAGGAATAAAACAAGAGAGTTAATGCTGGCACCTCACTCCTCAGAGAAGCTGATTTATTCAACTGGGCATGGGACACCCATGGTATTAAAAGCATAAACTAAAAGCTGTTTTCATGTGCAGTCAAGGCTAAGTATAATGTCTATGAGTAAATAAGATTCCCTTGGGGACTAAAGTGCACATAGAATTTGCTGATCATTGTGTCTGTCAAGAACATCTGTTCTTCCCTCCTGAGGCAAAGAGTGTGAGAGACTTTGAGGTAACAAGAAACATTGAACATGTCTGACTAACTAGAAATTTTCCTCCGTCATTTGTAAATTCTGCTTGAGGTATTTTGGAAAAGGGTAGTAGGGACAGGCCTAATTCTTCAGTTCTGATTCTTTTTCTGTTTCAAGATAGATCAAAATGAGCAGGTTGGATGAACAGGAATGTCTCCAATGAAAGCAAGAATAATGGGAATTAAATGAATTGGATTGGGGTTTGAGTGCCTGTGTACTTATGTAAGAATCTGTTAGCAGGTTGATGCATGAATGCCTATGTGTATGAACACACACACACACACACACACACACACACACACACACACACACACAAGGACAAAGCTAAGAAAAAACACACACACACACACACACACACACACACACACACGTACACACACAAGGGCAAAGCTAAGAGTAAAATCACACAGAGCTCTTAGGGACCAGAGAAATCTTTTATATAATGGGCTGCTAGTTTGTTCTGCATTCCTGTCCATGTGGTAAGAGCCTGGCTCAACATGACCAGGAAAAAGGTGAAGTGGGAGCAGACATGTGGTTCTTGTACAGAATAAGCCATTTTCTTTCAGTGAAAATGAATGACAGAATTTAAGACTTCCATTTCCCCAATGTTTGGAACTATTGCTACAGCTTTGACATTTTCTTACATAGTTTTCTTAGGCTGTATGACAAATATCCAGAAAGAACACAATTTTGGCAAGCAGTTTAGGATGATGAAAATGTACAGAGGAAGATTTCATATGGACATGTTATGGTAAAATGCCCCCCTCAGCTCACATTTATACAACTGATACTCAGCTAGTGGCACTGTTTTGGGAAGCTGTGGAAACTTTTGAACATGGGACTTGGCTGGCAGATGTAGGAGCATAGAGGAGGGGCTCGGGGGCTATAGGCTGGCCCTGCTTCCTTATCAGTGTCATGTAATAATCTTGCCACATGTTCCTGCTGCCACACCTTCCCCATCAAGATGTACCATATCCCTCAGACTGTGAGCCAAAATAAGTCCTTGTTCCCTTATTCTTTTTTTTTTTTTTTTGGTTTTTTTGAGACAGGCTCTCCCTGTAGCCCCAGCTGTCCTGGAACTCACTATGTAGACCAGGCTGGCTTTGAACTCACAGAGATCCGCCTGCCTCTGCCTCCCAAGTGCTGGGACTAAAGGCGTGCTCCACCAAGCCTGGCTATTCTTGTCAGATATTTGGTCTCAGCAGCAAGAAAGGTCACCAGAGCAGGGAATATGCTTGACATCACTATGCCCCTTCAACCAGAGTGTTAAATGAAAATGGAAAAAGTGAAAATTTTTTGACTGCAGCCCAGTGTGTACTTCTTTTATAGGGAAACGACTCTCTAAAAACTTGCATTGGGTGTGAGCGCTCTCACTACATTCCAGGCGTGTGCAGATAACACAGGCAAAGCATCGGGAGAACCATTTATTTCCAACATTCATTTCAGTTGCAGCAGAAGCTTTGCTTGTGGATGATTACATTAATTAAGTAAAATATCTACTTTTCAACTGGACTCCAGTACAGTTTCGCTCTTTGGTAAAGTCTCAAAGGATTAAAGTGCCTCCATCTCATGGCAAGGTAGATCACTTCCGATGGGCTCTTGCATGCATGTGTACTTGATGGGAGGTGGTGGTGGCTTGAAAGGTGGGGGTCTTTCCATGCTAAGAATAAAACATTGCTCTTTCAATGCTAAGAATGTGAGGTGGTATATATTATGAAAGTTAGATAGGTGAGGAAGAGATACACCCTTTATTTTCTTAGAATTTTTTGCTGGTTTAGCCTTATACTTGATCATATCATTAAATAATATTTATATGATACTATAATTTTCAAAGTCTTTTTGTCCCAGCATCATTTATTTGGTTCTTAGAAACTGAGTATTATAGTTACTTTTCAGCAGATAACACTGAGACTTAGAGGTGTTAAGGCATTTACTTAAGAGAACCAGGCCAAAAATTGAAGTCTTATAACCAGAACCCATAATCTCCATGGCAACTGTCTCCTAATGGAGAGAGCTTTATTCTTACATGGGTGAGAATATTCCCCCCGAGACAGATACATAAAATTCAAGAGCTAAAAACTGAAGTTGCTCAAACAGCAGCTTTGCTAACTCTGCCCTAGCTTATATGCATAAGCAGTGAGGATCAACCCCTCGATTGGTTGGCTGGATAATGCCTGAATCCACTTTGTTTGAATTAGTGAACATTCTTGAAGCTATCTTTCTATAAAGTTCTATTTCATGTTAAAATGATTCATTTCTGTCTTAAGTATCCAGGTCAGCACAGAACTTTGCTGGGCAAATGCTCAAAATATTTTGATAGTAGAAAACAGGAACATATCTGTGAGCCTTTTTATGTTTATGACTAAACAATCTCTATGTCCTTGTAATCCATAGCATCTTAATTTAGAGGGCCAGTGGGTCAAGGGAGGAGAGAAAGGGAAGGGAGACTTTCTTATCTCTGTATAACACAGCTATTTGAACAGAGAACAATTTAAAAATAAAAATTTCATATTCACATTTGTTCATTTTATTTTATTTTTATTTTTATTGCTCTTTTTGAGACAGGGTCTCCCTGTAGGCCCAGCTGATCTGGAACTCACGATAAAGACCATGCTGGCCTCAAATTCACAGAGATCTGCCTGCTTCTGCCTCCCAAGTTCTGGGATTAAAGGCATGTGTGACCACACCTGACTTTCATTTGTTCATTTTAATATAATGATTCCTAATTCTGTTTTTACATTTATTTTTATTTCCGGTATGCATTTTTGTGTATGTGTTCCAGATGTGTGTGCAGGTGCCCTTTGAAGCCAGAAGAGGGTGTCAGATCTCCTGGAGCCAGAGTTAATGGCAGTTGTGAGCCACCTGTCATGGATGCCGGAAACTGAACTTGGGTCCTCTGGAAGAATAACAAGTGCCCTCAAATGGTGAGTCATGTCTCTATCCCTGGGATCCCTAGTCATCTTTTAATAAATATTTTAGTTTTTTTATTTCCTGTGTATGAGTGTATTGCTTGCATGTATGTAAGTGCACCTATGTTGCGCAATGCCTGCAGAGGTCAGAAGAGGTCGTTGGGTCCCCTGGAACCAGACTTATGGACGGTTGCCATGTGAGTGCTGGGAACCAAACCTGGGTCCTCTGTAAGAGTAAGCCAGTGCTCTTAACCTCAGCCATCTCTCCCAGCCCCATCCCTAATTGTTATTACCTGGTTTGTGGATGTTTTAGAAGCTTAAGAATATATCAAATGATGGATCTGAGTCTAAGAAACTTGTATTTTTGTTTTTTTTTCAGAAAGATTATGAATTCTTAAAGTCATATAGTGGCCCATAGTCCCTAGATTAAAAAAATACCCAGAATATATGAATATCGATTTGATTTAGTGTTTAATTCACATAAAATACTTGCTGCAGATGGTTATGGAGTAGGAGTATCCAGTCTTTTGAAATTGAATATGATGTTACCATCTGCACATGTATTGGGCCATAGCTGTAGCTTTTCTGGGATGCCTGTGGTCTGTGGGCTGTAGGTTGGAAATACCTTTATAAAGGCTTCAAAGATGTTCTGGAAAGAATATGTCGTATAATGCTGATCATTTTATCGGCTAGTATATGAAACACGTAGACCTCAACTCTGTGTATTATGGGGTCTCCTGTAATCACAACCTTATCCAGACTGATCCGAGTAGTTGGATCAGAAATGGGAGGTTGAACTTGTCACTTCAGACTGCTGTATGGAGAAGGAATTAGGAAAATATTTCAGGATGAAAAGGGAAGCAACTCTTTTTTTTCCTCTTGGGAAAAAGGGCAAAGAACAGTCAAAACCCAGCCTGATGAAGAGCAGCTGGAAATCTCTTCAAATTACCCTTTCTCACTCACTTCACACCTGAGCATCTGGGCCTAGCTAAATCCAGTCAGTTCAAAGGTACATGAAAATGAAAAAAAATGAAGATTAAAAGAAAAATGAATTTTAGCTTTGTGATTATGTGAGGCCTACTCGTCCCATGCCCACTGGCCTGTTGTATCTGATGAGTGTTACAGCTCAGCATGCCAGTGGGGGTGTCGAGTCAGGAGTTGTGCCTTGAGTCCCCACTGTATGATTCTGGGAAGCTGCATGGTCCCTCTGAGCTTCAGGAACACTCGCTTGTTCACTAAATTATGTGGGGTTATATTTTGTAACACGTAAATATTTTATGATGAGAACAATCAGTTCCTTCATAGCATGGTAGTATACTCACATTTCTTTTTGGTACTGACACCATTTTCTTACTCCAAGTCCAAACAATATTATGCAGAAACAGAGCAAAATTGCTATAACCACTGGCCAGGACATTCCATCTCTGGGTTTATTAACTACGATACCTGAAAAGACATAAAGAGAGATGAACTTTAATGCCAAACTTTGGCATTTGGAAATAAAAAGGATTACTATAGCTCAGTGTAGCACAGTGATAGAATGATTGCTCAGTGTACATATGGCTCCACATTTGATGCCCAGCTCCACAAAACAAAAGCAAAAATTATTCCTCCTTTTCAACATGTTCCCCCAAAGTGGTAGGGTATTCTTTAACTGTGGTCATGCTTTGAGAGCATACCTTCTTATGAGAAATGATAATTTAATAGTTGATTAAATATCCTATCAATAATTTTCTATGACTATGTAAACACCTGTACTTTATATATATGCATATATTACATATATACATATGTATCATAAATATATTCCTTATATTGCAAATGAGTATATAATTATTTTTCTATTACAGGCCTACTTTAGAATAAACTTAGAATCCTTTCCATAGCAATGCACATAGGTTCATTTCATTCTATTTTATGGCTGGTTAGTTCTCCAATAACTCTAACATAGTTCATTCAATTTACTTCTTAATGTTAGATGGATAAATTATTTTAAGCTTTTCTTACTTTCTAACAACACTACACAGTGTTGTTACTGTCTAGATTCTTCTTCAAGACAATGTTTCATATATTCTAGGCTTGCTTAGATGACCTTGAACTCCTGATCTTCCTGCTTCTATTTCTGAGTGCTGTGATTGTAAGTATGTAGCACCATGCCTGGTTTATGTGGTACTGAAGATTACATCCAAGGTTTACTGCTCTACTGAGCTACACTCCCAGTTGCACTGATTTAACTTTAGTTTTTTGTTTTTGTTTTTTTTCCAGTGCTAGGAATCAGATTTAGGGCCTTGCACATGCTACACGCTTAAGTAAGCAATCTATCACTGAGCTATTATACACGCCCTGCCATTTTAAATATTTATTTTTATCTAGATCATTTGGGCAAACATAATCTAGGTTGTTTTTTCCCCCTGATTGTTGCTTGCAGGTGGTGATAAGGCTTGTGTTTCTATTATTTTCCAGTTTTAATTACTGCTTTTCATACAGCAAAATTAAAAAAGAGTAAAAAAATAGACTTAAAATATTAATTTCGCTCACCTCCCTCTGCTTCCCTGGACCTGCACGACCCACAGACCTCTCTCCAGGGTAAATCAATGGGGCCCTAGTCGCCTTGACTCCCCCAACCCCATTCACCACGCCCCCTCCTAGCCTGGGACCTGTCCCATTCCTTGTCTTGGTGCCCCAGACACGGGGGTAACCATCCAGACTGACCCAGTTCCTTCTGGGGTCCCCAAGAGACCTCTGGGCCTGACCCCGCCCTCAAATCCCTCTGATTCCCTGCTGTGCATAACTTATCCTCCAGCCTCTCTCCCCAGAGCCCTCGGGCCTAGTCCCACCCTCAACTCTCTCTGCATCCCTGGGCTGCACAACCCCTGCCAGCCTCTTTCCTGGATCTCAGGGCTGACCTCTGGGCTTCCTGACCCTTTGCATCAGGATCCTTTGCTTCCTGATCCTTTGCATCCAGACCAACCCAGTTCCTCCCTGCAATCCCCAGGAGTCCTTGGGGCCTCTTCTCACTCCCACCTCCCTTTGCATCTCTGGGTGGCATGGCCACCAGCTGCCCAAGACCAGCATCTTTCCTGGGCCCTGCTCCCAGGCCAGTCCAACCCGCAAATTCCTGAGGCCAAAGCAGAACTAAACCTGAAGGCCCGAGTATCACACAAGAGTCAGAAACTACAAAAGAAATTCACATGTCAAAATCACAGAGAAAAAATAATAACATGAAAAACCAAAATGACATATCCCCACCAAATACCAGTAATCCTCTAGAGGAGCACAATGAGAACGTCCTAGAGACAATGCAGGACATGGAACTCAAAAGAACAATGATGAATATGATAAAAGAATTCAGTGAATTTAAAGAACACACAAACAAGGTAATCAGAGAGCTGAAGGAAGATAGGGATAAACTTCTGGATGAATTCAGAAAAGAGCTAGAAATATTGAAGAACACTCAGGCTGAAATAAAGAAGGAGGCGAAACACTCAGTAAGCCAATTAGAAATGACAGGAGAAAGCCTCACCAATAGTATGAATGAAATGGAGAACAGAATATCAAGACTAGAAGATAAAGTGGATGAACTAGACCACTAAAGCAAAGATTATGAAAATTTTAAGAGAGCATAAGAATAGAATATGCAGGAATTGTATGACACCATAAAAAGAACAAACTTATGAATCATAGGCTTACAAGAAGGAGATGAATCCCAAGATAATGGCATGGACCAGATATTCAACAGAATCACTGAAGAAAATTTCCCAAAATTAAAGAAAGACATGCCCATACAAATACAAGAAGCATATAGAGCACCAAACAGAGAGTACCAGAAAAGAAACTCTTCATGGCATGTCATAGTAAAAATGCTAAATGGGCAGAACAAAGAGACAATACTGAAAGCTGCAAAAGAAAAACAACAAGTCATATATAAAGGAAAACCCATTAGGATTACAGCTGACTTTTCAATGCAAATTATGAAAGCCAGAAGAGCCTGGACCAAAGTATTCCCAGGTTTAAATGACCACAGATGCCAAACCAGATTACTATACCCAGCCAAAATGTCTACTATACTCAAAAGGGAAAGAAAAATCTTCTGTTACAAAAATAGGCTGAAAGAATTCATGTCCAAAAAACCAGCCCTTCAGAGAGTTCTGGAAGCAATACAAAGAGCTGAAGAAAGGAATGACTATACCCAAGGGATTATGGAAGGAAATTCAATGAAGGTATAACTGTGGAAAAGTACAGCTATATCAAGAATGTGAACAGAAATAAAAATGACAGG